GTCACATGGGATCTTCTCCTTTTCTTTCTCACTTTTTGGATTGATCATGAGGTAAGAGAAGCTAGATTAGTTGTTTCTATGTTGAATTTTGGATTTGTTGGATGATTGAGGTGTTGAATATTGTTTGGACTTCGAAATATTATGGTTGAGTTGATTGAAATAGAGAAGGTTTATGCGAAGGTTGGGGTTTGAGGTTCATAGCAAGAATGTGATTGTTTTGAATGAATTATGATTGCATATTGATTATAAGTGTATATGTGTGTTGATTGTAACGTAGATAACTATGGTTTAATGTTGCATGTGTGGGTCCTTCGTTGGATTTCAGGTTTTGGGTCAAAATTGGGATCTACACATGCAAAATTTTGATATCACACCAGGTGCGCCTCAAGACGCTGGGCATCGTTCCAATATGAGGCTCTCTATCTTGATCACATGGAGTGTAGGATCGATGGTGTCAAGCATGAGGAAAAATGGTCATCTCAGGTTGGAATAATGTCGAATGTGAGGGAATTGGAAGGCATCTAACTTGGTTATGCTGGACCCAAGGTTGAGTAGCACCCAACATGGTCAAACTACAACTCTTTGTCTGGATGACATCAGGCATCGATATGGTGACGCCAAGTGTGAGTTAGGTAGGGATTCTCTACCTGAAATGAGGTCAAGCATGGTACTTTGCTACGCCAAGCATGAGGCTTCAAGGGCCTCAACCTTATCCATGTTGGGTTTAGGTTATGTGATGCTAGGTGTGGGCGAGGTAAAGGGTTCCTTGTCTCTATTGCGTTGGGCCTGGGTGTTTGGCGTTGGGTGCTAATTACTAAATGGAAACTTATTTTGGACTGAAAATTTGTTGAATATAAGATGAAAATAAGTCTATGTTACATACTCTAAAGTTTTTAAGCATTGTTTATTCCATATATGAAGATGTTTTGAGATGAATGATGGTTAAGAAGTTGAATATGGTTTGAGATGTGTGTTAGTCGTGTAGTTGTGTTGAATATGCAAGTTGTTGTGTTGGTGAGATGATAAATGTTGAGAATTCTTCAAGAATTTAACCATAATGTTGTTGAGCTATTTTGATTAACCTAGAACTAGAGGAGAAATCTCTTTTAAAAAGTTGAATATCTCACTGTGTGGATATAGTGTTGTGGTGCTCTAAGAACCCAATTTGTTAAAAAAAAAAACTTCTTGGGAAGTTGACATTTAAAGTGGATAGTTGTGTTGACTCTCCTCTAAAACCTTAGTTGGTACACTGTGTGTGCAAGGTCGAGACGCACGTGTATAAAGCAATCATAGTATAAGGGTCAGGTTGAGTTATATTGATTACAAGTGACCAACCGAGTAAAGTATGAAGTTGAGAACTTAGTTCCTGATCGAGTATTGGAAGGACCTAGTATTTGAAGGGTAATCAATGAACTAATCTCATAGGAGGCTTAGTTAAGCTAGTTAATGTTGTTGTGGACCCATACCCAGATGTTTTACCCTAACAGTGATACTAGACTTCCTTGAAGTAACGATATCTGAGAAACCAAGTTATTATGTTGTGGATTAACATCCAATATGTTGTTGATCTAGCAAGTCAAAAAGATTACCCTGTGTTATTGATTTAGTAGGATCAAGTCACTTAAATTGTTCATCTTATGTTGTAGGAAATCTCCTAGTTGAAATGTAGGATTACACATATAGTTGTTGTGTTGTGCATATAATGTGTTAATTTAATTGTGTTGTTTATATGCAATGTTGACCCATGATGAAATATGCTGATATGTTGAAAACTGAGTAGTTAATGTTGTCTTTTTTAAGTTGACCTTATGTTGTAGTAAATGTAGTTATAAAGTTGATAGCATTGAATGTGCTAAAATGTTGATGCTAAAAAATAAGTTGTGTTATATAATCTTGTTATATATGTTGATGTTTTAAACTCTAGTTTACTCTTATGTGTATACATGTGATTTAGATTATGATGGTCATACTTGATATGGAGTAGAGTATGGATAGGTTGAGATGATGTGTAGTGGAGACCATCTAGTAGATGGTGGAGCATAGTTTTTTTGTTACTACTAGTGTGTTGTACTGTGTGTAGAAGTTGCTTGATTGATATCTTAGGTTGTATAGTTTACTTTTATTGGGATATTGTACTTATATTGTATATATTTGTATAATTGTTTTACCTTTATATGTATAATATATAGTACATATTCCCATACCTATAGATATAATCCTAAGTTAGTAGTTGTCTCACTGCTAGTAAATATGTCATCTAGCATAAGAACTATAGCAAGTCGTTACACTTTAAATATTTATTTAATAAATAAATAAAATATATAAGTTACATAATCAAACCCCCATATATTATCTACCAAAAAAATTCTTATATATTAAACTCGAATAACTATCTCATGCTAGAATATTTTTAAAGATTATTCTTCGATAGGAATGTTTTTAAGATTTTTTTTAACTTCTTATCAAATTACATTTTTTATTTATTTTATGTACTTAAGAAATAAGTTTAATATTTTTAAAATAAATTATCAATTATGAAAATTAATTTCTTACCACAATATAAGTTATTTAACTTGAATCAAAAATATATTTTACATGTTTAAAGACATTTATTTATTCAAATTTTTAATATAATTTATATATTCAAATATAATATTTATGTTCATATATAATTTATTATAGAATTTAGTTATGTATAATAAAAATTTAGTCTATGAAATGTATAGGCTAAAATATTTGTATTTGGATATTAAATAATTAAAAATAGATATAGAGATAATGGTCTAAAAAAAAGTAGAGATAAAAAATGAGTTATACATCCAATATCTCATTTATCTATACTAATGGGATTAAGGCACTTTGTGCCTTATGTATTTATTTTAATTAAAAATAAAATATAAAAAAGGTAAGATAATTTAATATGTGTAGTACAACAATTACTATACAAAGATTAATACACGAATAGATTAATATTAAATATAACAAATATTAAATTTATATATTATTATAAATTATAGATTATAATATATATATATATATATATATATATATATATATATTATCCATAGGAAGATTACAAAAACGCAACGAGGACCAAATCTAGGTCCTCTCACTTCTACCCCAACCTCTTTTCCCCTAGTATTAGGCTAACTCATATTGTCTTCATATAGATTATATCTAATATAGATATGGATAAATTAAAATAAAAAATAGAATTTAAAATAATAAATTAAAAATAAAAAATTTTAACATTAAAGTTAAATAATAGTGAGTGAAATAATTATTGGGAATGTAATGATCCAAAAAATGTGGAGTCTAAAAAGAAGTTACACAATAACTATAATATAACATACAATATATAGTATAGAAGAAAAAAAGATAAATATATAGTGTAATATATAATATACTAGTAGTTTAGCATGTGCAATGCACATGCAATTTTTTAAAATTTATAATAAATTATACATGTATAAGTATTATGTTTAAATATATAAATTAAATTTAAAATTAGTATATATAAATATTTTGAAGATATAAATTACATTTTACATTTATGATAAATAATTTGTCTTGTAACAAAAATTTATTTTAAAATTATTAATATTTAATTCATAAATAATTATGATGAAAAAAAAAATTAGAGAAGAAGTTAAAAAAACTCCTTATAAACCATTTTACTAAAGAAAAAGTTCATAAAAAAAATTAGACACAAAATAGAAATTCATGTTTAATATATAAAGATAGACACAGTTCCTTTTTCCTAATTAGTATATAATAAAGGAGTATAAATATCTAAAAAATGTGAAAACTAAAGAAATATATCCCCTTAATAAAAAGTATAAACTAGTAGGAAAAGAGGTCATTGAAAAATAAAATAAATAGATTGTTATTGTATTATCTTATTTCTTTTTTCCTGCATTAAAATAATATATTATTTTGTTGGTAGTTACTTTTCAATTTTAGAGTAAAATGAAAAAGTATATAAATAAGAGGTAAAAAGGTATATATAGAAATGGAAATTAAAAAATATCACTAAAAAGAGTATCCTTTATGCATAGTATAAACTAGTAAGGAAAACATTCTTCTATATATTTTTTAGGGTTTTGGGAGAAAAAGATGATAATAAAAGAAAAAATAAATAAATAAATATATATATATATATATATATATATTTGAATGTAAACAACATTGAATAATAGTATTGTGGTAGAGTGAGAGTAAAAATAAAGCTTTTTTTCAACCATGACAAATTGACCACGGAGTGAAATACGTAGACAATTGAGAGAAAAAAAATTAGAAAAGGGGAGATGAAAGGAAGATTTAGGGTATGTCCAATTTATATATCATATAGATATAGATAGACTAGGAAAAAAGATAGTGTTTCTCTGTTTAAAAATAATAAAATATGAATAGAAAAATAATATAGTTGGTGATTATGAGATTAAATAAATAAATAAAATATTTTAAAGAAAATGATTTGTATATAGTTCTAAATGGTTACAGATTAAATTGAGAAAAAATATTTATTTCTGAAATTTTCGTCTCATTACCTAACAATAAGAAACATATATTCTCATAATCTTTAATAAAAACATATAATAAAAAATAAAATTATTATTTTATAAAAATTGTAAAGTGTTATATAAAAAAATTACATTTTCTTCTAAATTCTGCCTAACAATAAGGACAATAATGAGTATATTTTAATATAATTTTAAGAAATAAAAGTGTAATTTTCCTAAATTTTAACATACAAAGAGAGGATAATTTAATACTTATATCTCTCAAAAAAAATGTAATTTATGTTAATCACATTAAATTCAATAGAATATATTTTATATTTTAACATAAAAATATAATATGATACTCTTATATATTAGTAAAAAGTAACGTAATTTACTTTAAAACAAATAAAAGAGAAAAAGAAAAAAAATATATTCTATGTGAAAATCTATACTTGAATTTTTCGTTTTCTTGTTTCAAAATCGAGGCAAGTGTAACATACTGCTCACATTTGGTGTTCACTCTCAATTCTGTACGTCTACTCTTCAATTCATTGCTAGCCTGCGTCTAAGTAAAACTTCAAACATGACAATAGAGAATAGGCATGCCCATCAACCGGATACGCAAAGCAAAAGCAAAAGACGAGTAAAACCCAGATTTCAAAATTGCAAGTCTAATCATATAGCCTGTCGAATATGAAAACTTGTGGAGTATACCGATAACTATATGAATAACCGGTCTCAAAATTACACAGCAAAACCCAAATGCTGTGAATCCCTACCATCCAATCATGACACCAAAAAGCTCTATAAAATTGTCGGGGTCAGGCTTGCAAAATGAAAAATAACCTATGAATGTATATTTTCACCAATCTTGAATTTAATTTCTTAAGCCTGTTTGCATAATCCGTCACTTTACCTTTCTATACTGTGCAGGGTCATCTATGATGTTTTACCTGTTTTACCATCCTCGTCTAACATGTCTGCTCTACTAGGCTTTGAAGCATTCTCCCCCTTACCTGCAGCTTCTTTTTCAGGTGATCCTGGGAAAGTGTCTCCCTTTGTTTTTCCAACATTATCCGACGCCTCGTTAGCTTCAGCTGCTGTCTGAATTAAGTCTAAAGGAGTAGCTGCTGGATCCAACTCTCGACAGTCCTTTGGAGCATTATGAGCTTCTTGCCCCGTAAGGAAGTAATTAGGAACCTGATGAGAGAATCGAAACATCTCGACCTTAGGAATCTTTCTTGCCTGATCATGACTGTGTCTGTGAAACACCGTCTTAAAACCATCAACCTTAACAAGTGGTGTGACCAATACACCTTCCTCTTCATTGAAATCTTCAAGCACTTCCACCATATCATACTTGTGTATAACTTCATCTGGAGTATTTTCATCCCAATCAGGAGCCCAGTTTCTATAGAGAGCCCAGACTTCTCCCTTCCCAGGAAAGATGTGAACAACTCCTCTGGCGCCTTTTGTCCACCTTACCTTATGTGAAAAGGAATTTAATGATTCAGTTATTTCATGCCTGCCAGTCCTGAAATCCCCACAGGTTTTGTAAAAACCAGAACCTACCCAATCTATTGGGCCCAATTCACTGTTGCTTCGAGAGTTAAGCCAACTGATCCGCATTCTAAATGGCTTTGTTGAAACCACCTTGTGAATTCTAGCATAATAGCGGGGCATTCCATCATCATTATCGTAAGCAGCCCAGACCTGGTCCTCTGCAAAGGAATTTTCAGTTCTATCCAAGTCAAAATTGTGAAAATCAGGATCTGGAACGTTCATTGTTACATAGGCCGACTTCTCCTTTACAGTATCATCACCCGCGACTGGGATAGAATCAGTGTCCACATGCCTGTTGCCATTAATAGTGGAACCTCCATGCTTCTCTGAACCAGTTGTTTTGCCATTGAATGCACTTTTCTGTGTCCTGCTTCCTTTGTCCTTGATTGTAATCTTAGCTTCAGCCATCGTTCTCCATTCTTGAAGTTTCTTGTGAATTTCAGTATGTGCCTTACCAATCAACATATTACGTAATTCAAAGGACGACAACTCTTTCATGCTGTATCGCTTGATACCAATACCTGAAAAACCATGAGTCCTTTCTGTTCCCATGTTAGCTTTTCCTGATTCATAAAAATGGCCAAAACTGTTTGATCCATTTCTCATGGTCGTATGATTTGCATTAGACACATAAATATCGTCTGTCCTTGTTTTCTTCATGGGATTTTCCTTAGGATTTTCGACATTGCTAAAAGGACCATCAGGCCTCTTATGCAAATGACTCCTCTCCTGGGCGGCAATTGACGGGGCTCCCTCACCTCTTCTTGTCTCACTTGACTGCTGCTTAACATTTGCCGCAGCAACAGATGATGATCCATCTCTTCTAACAAAACCAGCCATTCTAGAGAAGGGGCCCCACTGGAAGTTTGTGTTATTAAAAGATGTGCCTGTAGAACTGCTGGATTGTAAATTTTGAGAAACTGCACCAGTTTTTCCTGGATTCACTGGCTGCTTCCTTCCAACATTGGGATGTTCCCGAGAAGACTTCTGAGGATGTTGCCTAGAAGACAAATTAGATGACTTAGAAACATTGGGAGGTGGGCCTGTCTCCACAGCCGCAAAAGCATCATTGCAATTTGGACATAAAAGGGTTTGATTCAAATAAGTCCTGAGATACTCATAATATGTCCTGCAGCTATTGCAGAGAGTCCAAAAGGTACCAGCCTTTGTATGAGGAGGAGGAATGGAGGTTGGATGTGCTCGAGCATCACTATTTCCAGGAGGAATGGAGGTTGGTTGTGCCCGAGCATCACTATTTCCAGGAGGAATGGAGGTTGGACGTGACCGAGCATCACTATTTCCAGTAGGAATGGAGGTCGGATGTGCCCGAGCATCACTATTTCCAGCTCTCACGCTTGAAGTTGCATTCTTGTTAAGATTATAAGAGCCATTTGAACTGGGTGCTTTTGATTGAGACCCAACATGGTTGGGAGCATTATGCTGAAATCCTTTCGATTTCCTGTTCTGGTTATATGCTAGTCTTTTAACCTTATCCGATAGAAAACTCCATGCCTCTGAAACAAGCTTAAATGCACCTTCTGCACCTGGAGACTTGTTTTTGTCAGGGTGAAGAGTGAGAGCTAGCTTTCTATACTGCTTCCTAACCATCTCTTCATTAGCAAATGGAACCACTCCAAGTATACCATACCAATCCACTTCTCCATTTATTTTTTTCTCGGAAGAGATATAAACATCAAGAGTTGTTAAAAGCTGGGAAATACCCTCCAGTGCAGGAAACAAACTTAGAGCCTTGAGAGCAAATTTTTTTGCACCAGCATAATCCCCTTCAGAAACTTTCCTCTCTGCTATTTCTTTGGCCCTAGCCGCCTCATCTTTGTTGCATTCCATATTTCCCAGTTGTCTCAGCTCTTAACGTGACGCTTCTTCCCGTAGCTTAAAGGCAAAAGAATTTAACCATCAGTGTTGGATTCTGAAATACCTTTGTTTGATGAACAAAGCCATTAATCATGCACCAGACCCACAGATGAAAGAAATGAAAAGCACTAAAAACATTCTTAACAATCAAGTAGTGGATCAACAATAAGTAAACCAAAATTTCAATGTAAAGTTTTTACCTCTGAAAGTGCATTTATTCTTCAAACGACCTACTTGGACAATAAGTATTCCATTTTATATCGTCTAAATATCTTGGCAAGCCAATCCCCAGTCAATGGTCATCAAAACCAAGGAGAAAAGGTAAGTTTTCAAAAATTTATTGAACTTGCTGTCACAAGTAAAAAAGAAAATGACCAAAATTGAAATACATTATGTTAGAAATCCTACATCACATTTCTGAGATTTAGACAACATAAAACTTAAAAATGTCAAATCTAAGGAGTAAAAATTGAGACTTATTCTGCAAGTTTTGTTTGATTTAAAGAAAATACCATTCCTAAGCATCTCTTTCTTTCTTCGGTACAATAAAATTAAAGGCAGACTGAATATTGCAACGGCTAGAAGCATTTTCAAGTGCCGCCATCTATCAATGTATATTTTTACGAGTCTGAACAACTACACAAGTCACTTGTTCAAGAAAATTCTAGTCATACATTAATGACATACTTTTAAGGAATCTATTCACATATCCAATGGGAAAAACAAAATGACTACAATTACACTTTTTAGATGCTGACCATCACCAAGTTAAACTGAGCTTAACAAACTCATAAGCTTGCATTATCTATAAATGAGAAATGCTAACATACTCTTTCCAGCACAATCTTTATTTACTTTCAATTGAAATTCATGCAGGAGTTACAAAATGAGGTGGGGCCCACATCCTATTTAGTGGGTGAGTCCTACATAAACTTTTCAATTAATAGTAAAGAATGTGTTGAAAAGTGTAGCATTCCTCATATATCTTAATAGCGTTATATTTCATTTGAGCCTAATTCAACCCTAACTAAAAGCCAGCTCATAGAGTGACGGTTATTCCACACTTATATACATTATTTTAGTCTTATCACTAGACAAGGTGAAATCTCCAACCTCCCCCCACTCTCCCACTAAGGACTCAACATCTCAAGCATGGAGTTTGCATGAATAAACATTTACAGGTTGTCCAATAACAGCCCAATAAGGCAGTAACAGGTGACTTAATAGGCTCAATAATAACCTCTAAGATGGACTCTGGTGTCATCTTTAAGATTTGGGTTTGAGCTTGGCTAATCAGATGGGGATTGTCCCACACTTAACACCATTTTATCCATATCACTAGACAATGTGGAACCACCAACACTTTAAAAGACAGAGGACAAGTCTACAATAAAATGAACTACAAAATGACATGAACATATGAAACATTATTCATTCACCCAATCAAGATTCAATTAGGAGCACCATTCCCAGTCCCATTACTGCTAGAATACGTAAAGCCTAACACCCCTTCCATTAGCATTTTAAACTCAACTCACTAAAGTGAACAATTACTTTTCCGTTTGGGGACAATATCATAACATCAAAACTAAACCAAGGAATAAAAGGTAACAGCTTTGAACATTAAGCGGCAAAAAGGAACTATCTCTAATATATTTAAAATAAATAAAACCACAGAATTGAACGATGAAGTTCACAAATGCTCAAATTAACACAGTTCAGTCCACAGCGAAAACGAAGCTTATCATGAAGAAATGATAAGAGAATAAAAAAGCGGGAAGTGGCCATTTCAATGAGTCAAGAAGCGCGCCATGGATCCAAAGGGACGTGCATTTTTCAAAAGAAAGGTAACGGTCGAAATTCAGGGTTGGAAATTCTGCAATCAGATTGAATGCACGTTGAGCCGAAACCCTAGACCAAATCCACGCAAATCCTCATGGGAATTTAAGAGGTAGATTTTGTGCAGTAACGGAGAGGGAAAGTAGAGTGAAGTAAAGTAAAGAAATGGAATGAAGAAGTGAAATTACCAAATTGGAGAGTGTGTGAAATTTGAATCAGAGAAGACCATCACCATGCACAGCACAAAATAACCTACATGTCAAAACACCGCCAAGAATCTATTTTCCCCCAAAATAATACTTGTTAAAATCACAAGTTTTCTACTCTTTCATTTTCCTCTTTTGTTCTTAACCCAACACACCTTTTTTATGATGAACTAGGAAACTAAACCTTAATTAGGGTTAATTTTTAACTCATGATCATTAGACCATAGTTTGAATCTATTTTATTAATCCATGTCATTAATCAAGGTGAAATATATTTTTTGTATATATTTTTTTTAGGACACTTTTTGATTCACATTCAAGATTTACATTTAAACAAGAATTACATTAAATTAATGAAGAAATTATTTTTTCTTTTTGTTGTTTCTATTGAATGTATGGAGAAAGTGATCATTTATGTTTTAAATTTGATTTCAAATACACACTTACTATTCTATCTTTTTTAACTTTTGAAATGAACATTAAGAAAATCACACCTAGCACAAAATACTCAACAATCCATCCATAGTCCATCTAAAAGAGATATAAAATCTAAAAAGTTGAAAGATAACCTTACTACCCAATATTTGATTAACACCCATAAACGAGATAATTCATTTTCCTTTTACCTAGATAAAAATTCTTGCAAAAGTAAAGTTGCAATAAAGTAATCCTCTCCTTGAGATCCTTATTCATTCACAAGCGGCATTTTTTATGACACTCAGGTTTTAAGAAGCAACCAAAAGACAAAAAAATATTAGTTTAGACCTAACAAACTCTTTTAACTAACTAAAAGACTTTTTGTACTGATGAGGAAAATATTGTATATACCTTCATTTTTATGGAAAATGTTATAATAAATATATAAAACCTATGATTATCAATTATTTCAGAGTTAAATCTTTTAAAATAAGAATTTATGTAAAATGAGAAAGTTATAATAACTTCAATTTATATGATAAATTTATGTAAAATTAGAAGGTTTTTTTTAACAATTGTAAACTAAGAAGGTTAAATAATAATAATAATAATAATAATAATAATAATAATTTCTTCAATTTACAAACACAACATTTAGTTAATTTCTATTTTATAATAAATATTTAAAACCAGTGATTATCAATTATTTAAGAATTAAATATTTTAAAGAAAGAATTTATGTAAAATGAGAAAGTTATGTTATATCTACCATTTATTTGCGTTCACTTAATTCACTTTAAATTAATCATAAATGCATATTTTAATTTTTTTTTTTACTTTACACATAAAAAAGTCAAATCTAATTTATAAATTGCATATCCTATTTTAATGAAAATACTATGTGCAATTAATTATTATAAATCAAATTTATTTACATTCTTATTTTTTTTAATTCAAACAATTGGTTTACTTTAGAAAAATCAGATTCAAACAAAACTTCAAATCATATATAATCTATCCATTTTTTTTTTATACTTTTCTTATTTAAACTATCTTAACAATGGACTGTATTTCTCTCGTGAGAAATATATACTCAAAAGTATGTATCAAATGTGGTTATGAGTTGGATTACTTCAAGTTTAAGCCAACGTCATATTTAAATTGATTATATTTAATTGTGTCGTTTAGTTTATATTTTATTTTTTTTACCTAATTCAAATTTTATTTCTAATTAATATAAGGTGAAAATATTTTTTATTCTATAAGAATTAATTATTTTCTGTAGTATTTATTTTTATATAATTATCGATTTACATATCTCATTAAATTATTTACTTAAAATATGGTATAAAAGAATTTCATGATAAATATGACTAAATTAAGATCTTTGATGTGACACTTTCTATCTTCCTAAATTAATATAATATAATTAATAAATTTTATAATTAAAAGGAAAAGCGGAATTTCTTAAATTTTACAAAACAATTTGTAAAGTTAAATAAAAATTACATTAACAACCAGTTGTGTAAACAGTATAAAAGTAAACAGTAAATAAAAACCTTAATAAAAAAGTTGGCATTCCAAAAGGTATACGTAAGTTTAAAATCAAAACAATTGAAAAAAAAAAAACAACTAAAACAATTTCATCTTAAGTCATCTAAAAGTCATAAACAATTAACGGTCCCTTTTATATACAAATGACATTTAACACAAATATAATAATAAAACAAACAAGAAATGGGTAAAATACATCTCATCCATGCTTTTGGTGTGAAATAAAGGACAAACAATCACAACTTGACAATGATACAACACATTATATATTTCAATCACATTCATGAGATCTAATTATGTTTATGCAATGTTTTCATGTTATAGTGCAATTATGCATTTGGTATCCAGTTCAAAATCACATCTCAAAGGGCATAGCCTAAAAGTACATGCAAGTAGACTGAGCCATTAAGCTAAGTGTCTAACACTAAACATTTTCACTAGGAGGAAAATCCATTGATGGCTAACTAAGGTTACAAGGTTGCACTAGTTCATCCATCCTCGTCATAGAGTGTAACTGGATTTCCTAAACCTAACTGAACCCTAAGATCTATATCCAAAGACCGTTAATGTGACTTCCCTAGCATAGGATTCCATAGCAGCACCTCAAAAACTCAAGTTTTATGTCCACGATGTATGTCAATAAAACTCTAAACATTAAGAAAATCACAGGTAGCATAAAATACTCAACAATTCATCTATAATCCATCTAAAAGAGATATAAAATCTAAGAGGTTGAATGATAACTTCATTACCCAATATTTGATTAACACCTATGAACGAGATAATTCACTTTCCTATTACCTAGATAAAAACTCTTGCAAAAGTAAAGTTGCAATAGGGTGATCCTCTCCTTCAGACCCTTATTCCTTCACAAGCGACACTTTTTACGGTACTCAAGTAAGAAGCAACCAAAAGACAAAAGGATATTAGTTTAGACTTAACAGACTCTTTTAACTTAAAAATTTATATGTCTAAATATCTTGGCAAGCCAATCCCCAGTCAATAGTCATCAAAACCAAAGAGAAAAGGTAAGTTTTCAAAAATTTATTGAACTTGCTGTCACAAGTAAAATGAAAGTGACCAAAATTGAAACACATTATGTTAGAAATCCTACATCCCATTTCTGACATTTAGACAAAATGAAACTTAAAAATGTCAAATCTAAGGAGTAAAAATTGAGACTTATTCTGAAAGTTTTGTCTGATTAAAGAAAATACCATTCCTAAGCATCTCTTTTCTTTCTCCGGTACAATAAAATTAAAGGCAAACTGAATATTGCAACGGCTAGAAGCATTTTTAAGTGCCGCCATCTGTCAATATATATTTTTACAAGGCTGAGCAACTACACAAGTCACTTGTTCAAGAAAATTCTAGTCATAAATTAATGACATACTTTTAAGGAATCTATTCACATATCCAATGGGAAAAAAAAATGACTACAATTACACTTTTTAGATGCTGACCATCACCAAGTTAAACTGAGTTTAACAAACTCATAAGCTAGCGTTATCTATAAATGAGAAATGCTAACATACTCTTTCCAGCACAATCTTTATTTACTTTCAATTGAAATTCATGCCGGACTTACAAAATGAGGTGGGGCCCACATCCTATTTAGTGGGTGGATCCTACATAAACTTTTTAATTAATAATAAAGAATGGGTTGAAAAGTGTAGGATTCCTCATATATATCTTAATAGCATTATATTTCATTTAAGTTTAATTCAACCCTAACTAAAAGCTAGCTCACAGAGTGACTGTTATTCTACACTTAGACACATTATTTTAGTTTTATTACTAGACAATGTGGAATTTCCAACATCCCCCACTCTCTTACTAAGGACTCAACATCTCAAGCATAGAGTTTGCAAGAATAAACATTTACAGCTTGTCCAATAACAGCCCAATAAGGCAGTAACAGGTGACTTAATAGACTCAATAATAACCATTAAGATGGACTCTGGTGTCATTTTAAGATTTGGGTTTGAGCTTAGCTAATCAGATGGGGATTGTCCCACACTTAACACTATTTTATCCATATCACTAGACAATGTGGAACCCCCAACACTTTAAAAGACAGAGGACAAGTCTACAATAAAATGAACTACAAAATGACATGAACATATGAAGCATTATTCATTCACCCAATAAAGATTCAATTAGGAGCACCATTCCCAGTCCCACTACTGCTAGAATACGTAAAGCCTAACACCCCTTCCATTAGCATTTTAAAACTCAGCTCACTAAAGTGAACCATTACTTTTCCGTTTGGGGACAATATCATAACATCAAAACTACACCACGGACTCAAAGGTACCAGCTTTGAACATTCAGCAGCAAAAAGGAACTATCTCTAATATATTTAAAATAAATAAAACCACAGAATTGAACGTGTCGATGAAGTTCACAAATGCTCAAATTAACACAGTTCAGTCCACGGCGAAAACGAAGCTTATCATGAAGAAATGATAAGAGAATAAAAAAGCGGGAAGTGGCCATTTCAATGAGTCAAGAAGCCCGCCATAGATCCAAAGGGACGTGCATTTTTCAAAAAAAGGTAACGGTCGAAATTCAGAGTTGGAAATTCTGCAATCGGATTGAATGCACGTTGAGCCGAAACCCTAGACCGAATCCACGCGAATCCTCATGGGGATTTAAGAGGTAGATTTTGTGCAGTAACGGAGAGGGAAAGTAGAGTGAAGTAAAGTAAAGAAATGGAATGAAGAAGTGAAATTACCAAATTGGAGAGTGTGTGAAATTTGAATCAGAGAAGACCATCACCATGCACAGCACAAAATAACCTACATGTCAAAACACCGCCAAGAATCTATTTTCCCCCAAAATAATACTTGTTAAAATCACAAGTTTTCTACTCTTTCATTTTCCTCTTTTGTTCTTAACCCAACACACCTTTTTTATGATGAACTAGGAAACTAAACCTTAATTAGGGTTAATTTTTAACTCATGATCATTAGACCATAGTTTGAATCTATTTTATTAATCCATGTCATTAATGAAACTGAAATATATTTTTTGTGTATATTTTTTTTAGGACACCTTTTGATTCACATTCAAGATTTACATTTAAACAAGAATTACATTAAATTAATGGAGAATTTTTTTTTTTGTTGTTGTTATTTCTATTGGATGTATGGGAAAGTGATCATTTATGTTTTGAATTTGATTTCAAACACATACTTAAACTATTCTATCTTTTTTAACTTTTGAAGTGAACAATAAGAAAATCACACCTAGCACAAAATACTCAACAATCCATACATAATTCATCTAAAAGAGATATAAAATCTAAAAAGTTGAAAGATAACCTCGTTACCCAATATTTGATTAACACCCATA